TTAAACATGAAAAACTTTCGTAGGACGTATTTTCTTGTAAAGTTCATATTTACTGAGATATCGCACTTTGACGCACTAATGAGCAACCCTGTATAGAGTTTTTTACAAACTTGTTGTTGGGTATTTTGCCTCAAAAATTTTTGTCTTTAAAAAAGTCAGAATTTCCTCACGTCTTCTATTACAGATTGATAAATAGTGCTTCTATTTCGCAATAAGAACGAATTATTTATCAAAAAGCAATCAAGAACTATCACCTAGAGGGTAGGTATCCTGCGACACACTTAGGCTCAAGCTGTAAGAGAAAATTCCAATTAGAAAAGAAATTAATTTAAAAAAAATACCTTGACGTTTCGATAGCTATTTTCTGCTATCGCTATCAAAAGAACCTAAATGAACCTAAAAAAGAGTATGTTAATAAATTGTGTAACAATAGTAGGATAATACAGTATATGAAAATTCGCTCTGATAATTCGTCTGTGCAAATTGTCAGTTAAGTATGTGACTTTGATTTTATCTCATTGTTTAAATTAATAAAGGTAATGTTAATTAATCATTTTGGTGTAAATTTAATTTGGGTGTATGTTTCTCCGGTTTAATTCAGGTTTTAGCATAGGTAACCATGTATGACTTAAATTAAATGAACATGAAGAAACACAATTATTTTGATTTAGTAAAATTAGCGCTTTCTTTAATTTTACGTTTTTTCGTAGATTGTTCTTTTGTTAAAATTGTGGAATTATTCCATTGAATTTTATGGCAATTATCAAATGCATATTGACAAATGTGTGATATTCTCTATTTTTTATGTATGATTGGTGTTCTTTGAGTTTTTTGTGTAATGGTCTTGAGGTTTCTCCTATATAAAATTTATTCATTGTACGTACTTTCCTGACTGTGTTTCAATTCCAAATTAAAATCAAATCCTGGGTTCTTCAGTCATTTATTGTTCATTTATCAATTAAAAAAACGTTTCGGTGTTTTCCACCATCATCAGTTTTAATGTGTAGCGTTGTTGCTACTTTACGCCTTGGCATGTATTTGGAGTATTAATTTTGTCCATTTTGCACATAAAGCGAATTACTCTTAGTAATTCGCTAATCGGAATCGGAATAAAATTTATTGCATTCGCAAGGAATTTTATAAATTTCATTTTTTGTGTTTTCAATTATGTCATAAGGTTTTGTTACTGAAATTTTACTTCTAATTGTATTTTCAGTTTTGAAGATATTTCTAATATTAATTTTTTTACCTACTCGTTTAATTTGATCTGAAAGTCCTGGAATAAATGGAATGAAAAGGTTCGTAATAGGTTTATTTTGATTTTGTTTTGTTCGTGGGAATTCAATTTCGTTAAAACATTTTTCAATAAAATAATTTCGATAATAATTGAAATTTAGAATTTCTTTTATAAATTGTTTTTTTTTTTGGAAAAATTAGATTGATTACAAATTATTTTTGCTCTATCATATAGATTTCTAACGATACCTTTTTTAACCATTATCGGGTGATTTGAGTCGAAATTCAAATATCGGTTAGTATTAATATTAGGAAATTCTGTCTTTTTTAAAGATTTTGAGGCGAAATACCCAACAAGAAGTTTGTAAAAAAATGAATCCGCCTCAACAATATAGTACTTATCTATATATAGAGTGATGCAAAATTGCCGTCATTTCTTTTATGTGGTTATTAGAGCTTACTTGAATGCTGCGGAAAATTTTTATCATCAAGCAACACAAACGTGAACTGATGTTGCGAAGTGAGGTTTTTCACAACATTTTTTTCCAGCGCACAGAAAAAAATAAAAACTTGGACTTTAATGAAGCAGTTCATATAGAAGGATTGTTTCCCTCATTTATTTCCGTTAATTAAAATGGCCTTAAAGCTCATTATAAACTCGTTGCGCTTGAATAATCGGCCAATGTCCATGACAATATCCACTGACGTAATGTCCGTCCCAAAGGACGCTTTCGAATCGGGTTGGACCGTGATCTCTGGTGACCCGTTCGGGATTCAATTATTGGACCAGCAGCCAGGCTGGCTGGAAATGGCAGGTGTCCCATTCCAATTGCATTCCGATCTGCATTTTGGATGAGTGTGGTCGATGCAGTTTGGCATTTTTACGTTCAATTTTGCTTTAATGTTATTTCCGATCAAATATGCCGGTTTTATCGTTTAGTTGCTCCGCGTCACAGTCCAACTTGGTAAAATCAAAATTGTCCCGTCCGCTAATCTTATGTAACAGTGGCGGAAAATTGGCTTCTTTCCCATCTCTTACGACCCACTTAAAAATTACCGTTTAAGAAATAGAAATAATTTCAGAGCCTCTAACAGTCATACGAAATGCTTGCGCGTTCTTCCACAGCACCTCTTGCCTACCTGATATTATTAAATGTTATGGTTACGATCCCCGGATAAGAAAATTACATTTCCAATTCATGAAGAGGCAGAGAATTATTCTACTGCTAGGGTGGAGAGTGTCCCCCTAGTCCCAGTAATAGACTCAGTGCTTCTCGCATTTTTAGTATCTTGATTCTTAACTTTGTTTAAGGGAATTTGCAAGAAATGCTAATTATATTTGAAGCGTAACTTTTACTTAGTACAAAACCATCTTGCAAAAAGGGAAGAAAATTCATAAATAGAATTCCTGAAATACTTGTCTAATACATCAATTTTGTTCATTGGATCGGACAGGGAAAATTGTTTCGCTATAAACCTTTGCAAAGCCCCAACTAAAGGCTGAATAGAGACTTCTATCACAACTGGGGACATATTCTCTACTGGAAATGAGCTTAATATTTTCTCGGAAATTGCTTCTATCGAGTCTCGAACGAACTTACTTTTATCTACGGTAAACCCAACTTTGAGTTATACTCTTGTTGGGTAAGTAATTAGATCATATTTTCTGCGAAACTGTGGAAAGCCAATTCCAATTTTGTAATTGTATAATTTTTCAAAAAATTGTTCACTGCAGCCCGGAGAATTAAATTGCATTTTTTCGCTTCGAAAATGCCTTAACAGAACTATAAATCAGACTGGCATACATTCGAGACACCTCTGCCCCGTTCGCATAATTATTTGGATTTTAATTAACCGACAGAATTGGAAGCATTAATCAAGAGGGTGTAGCTGATGAGTAATCAGCATGCAGTATATACGTAGTTTTATTCGGCCTGGAGCGGGAGCTGGTTTCAGCTTCGGTGTTGCTGACTAGTCATAAAATTCTATTTCCACTCACAATCAAATTAAACTTGTTATAAATGCTGATTTAGATTGGTTCCGCTACAAGAACTCAAAACCATTCGAGCTAAAATTTATTCAAAGTCGTTATTTTCACAACCGGTTAGCTGCCAAACTTTCCAGTTTAAAAATTGAAACTGAGCGGCAAAAATTGCGGTATTTTATGGCTCTGAAAATAATTTTTTATACTCGTGTTAGGGTTATTTAATTTAGTAAAAAAGTTAATGCCTTATGCTTGGAAAATCTGACTAATTTTGGACATGTCAAATGCTCTTCAATTTTATATGATGTGTCCTCATTCACTTCAAAACAAAACGGGGTCTAACTAATTTAAGTTCATTTCCTGTGGGTAATTTATCAGCGATCTGTAGCTAATCGCTTGCGGCCGTCTGGACATACACGTTTCACTCTGTTAAAAGTGCATCCAAAGAAAATATCAAATGTTTAAGACTACATATTTTTAATCTACAAATTATTCACACTTTAAACATCCTTTGTAAAATGTCTTGCTACCGCAATGAGCCTCGAAGAAAACAATTCGCTATGCTTCTTATCCACACTTTCTATAATCGACTCATATACCTCGTTTATATTGGCATAACTGGCAGCATTGTCTTTATCCACCAAGTTATCGCAAACGATCAACGGATTGATCATCGCTCCATATGCGGAATATTTACTCCAATGATCCAGAAGATCTGTAAAAGAAAAAATATTTTGTGGATCGCAGTCCATTTGACGAAGATAATGCGATAAGCTTTGATGGTATATTTGGAGTAATGAATCGAAATGCTCCAACTGATCGGTGGATGATACCGCATAGATGAAGTAGCTCAAATCGATTACTGGGCTGGACAGAGTGGATATTTGGAAGTCCAAAATACACAAGTCAGTTGGGGAGGCTTCAGATGTGTTCTGAAAACCCCAGGTAAATATTTCGATTGGAGGTTTTCAGCTAAACAAATCAATTTACCTCATATTTGAACATGAGGTTGTTATTCCAACAATCTCCATGAGTGATCACAACATGTTCTTTTTCCATGTACAAAATATCTTTCACAATGCTGGTAGCCATGTGGTTGTCGGTTTTTTGCTTATATTTCAACAACAGTTCCGATTCGCCAGATTCTTCCAGAACAGACAGCAAGTGCTTTTGTGCCAGGTTCATCCACTTGCCCACGTGGCTCTTTACGAAAATCTCTTCAGCTGGGCATTTCCACTTAGACGTTAATCTGGAGAACTCTAACCGATGTTTGGTCTGTAGACCAAATGAAAGAGCATGCCACTGGCCTAAGACTTTTAGAACCAGCTTGATATGGTCCAGGTTCATTACAGTTTTCCGGTCGTATAGTTGGAAGCCCACAGATTTGATGTCCTGGAGCAACAAAGTTTCTTGACTATCGGTTAGAATTGTTAGGTAGCAACGTGGGATTGAAGCAAATTTTACCATGCCATATTCTTCCTGGAAAGAACTAGGACAATAAAAGCGAGGCGAGCTGAAGAATTGGAAAAACCAACCTGCAACTGCCAAAAGGCTGGAATAACCTTCGAATAAATGTAAATCTCCCTTTCAAACCCCAGGCGAACAATTTGCCGCATCGACTTGTTCTTCCCACCCGTCTTCAACACTAAACTATACACTGTTTCAGCACCATCCAGCTTGGTAGCGAAGACATCCACAAATACAATGTCACCAATATAGCCTTCGCCTTTCTCATTACCGCCTCGGAACTTCAGATAGTAGCTCTTAAGGCCTTCACTTTGAAAGGCTTTACGAATCAACGGGTCGAAGGTGTCGCGAGGATCAGACATGGTGCAATGGTGAGCCGACATGCATTTAAATTAACACATAATGGCCTCGGAAGCGAGTCGGCAGAGTTCTTTGTCAATTATCTTGTAATGGGTTTTAACTGGCTTGCCGAGTTGGGATTGCGGTTTTTAACAAGGAAGTAATAGTATGAATGACGAGTTTACTAATAGAATTTATCGGAATTTTACTGCATGCAATTGATGTTGAGGGTGTAGATGAGAGTAACATCCTTTTGGTATAAGACAAAGTCAATGAAACGAAAACATGGACGGAAGTTTTCAAGATGTGAAAATTTGAAGTATTTCTTTTGCTTTGGTATATTTTAGGTGCCAAACAGTAGGTTTTCAAACTGAAACTTTAAAAGGAAAAAGTCAATTTCTTCGCAACGGCATCGCGCCGAATAATTGTGGTGCAAAATTAAGAAATAAACTAGAGATAGCAAGCGTAGCCGAGTTATAATAAATTTGTATCGTTATCGCGAGTTCAATGTTCACCCGGTATTTTCCAACCCCCTAAGCCGCACCAGTTTTGACAGTTAAAACTTATTTATCGCGTAAATTGCTTCTCGGCTTTTAATTTTGTTTTAAGTTGGGTGGAAAGCTGCACAGTTATCGTAATAAAAATGTTAAAGTGCTTTTTGCTGATAATATTTAATGTGCATTTTTAACCGGTTCTATTAAGATATGGCTCTAAGAATGGAAAACTGGATTGTAGTGGAATTAATTCCGGTATGAATAGTGGAAGAATTTTTTCCAAGGGAACTACGAACTAATTGCTATAAAAAGTACAATATTAAGTTAACCCTTCACTGTATGATTTTTTTAAATTAACTCAAAAAAATGCGGCATTTGGAAAAATGTTTATTGATTTATAAAAAAATTTTAAAAAAATATTATCGAATAACAAAACTTTTTTATTGCAAAAAAACTGGTTTGTGTCATATATGGGACAACATGTGATTTAGGTTGTAACAGGGGGTCGTTACTCAGTATGAAACCGAATAAAACAGTTCCTTTCTTTGTTCAAACAGAGTGCAACCTGACACTTTGTACAGTATACATATGACTGAAATTTGCAACGATTTCTGCCAGCTTCCTTCCATTCCGGTAAATGATCCAGTCCATCCTGCCGAACTTCAATTTGAGGAATCTCTGCTACTGCTCCCCGCTTCTTTTTGATTGCAAATGCATGTTCAAGATTGCAATTTGGTCGGCCCCTTTTCATTGAAGAACCAGGCTTTCCAGACTTACATAAGGCATCAGCGATTGCAACCTTGAAACCCGCAAGAGGCATGTACGTCTTACTCTGCCTCCTAAATAACAGCCAGCTGTTAACGACACTCATGTCCAACATATGAAAAAATATCCGAAGATACCACTTCTTTGATCGTATTTTGATTCAGAAGATCCACGCCTCCCATATACTCATAATTTTTAGCACACTCTGGGGACATTCTATCATTTTGTAACACTTTTCACTTCTAAAAAACCTCCTCTTTGGTCCAGTTGGTTGTGATCCTACGTAACTAGATAAAGTTGACACAACTTTATTG